GTGTGATGGGTTGTCAGGCGAGTTCACGGAACGACAGTTGTTACTGCTCCAATTTTTTTTATTCACACCAGACATTTTTCGTTTTTTTTTTTTCGGTCGGTGAACCTCTTTACGCTGCATTCCCATTTTTTTTTTTTCTATTTCAGTCCTTCAAGTTTACAGTGGACTCCCGTTTTAATTAGAGGGAGTACTTCATTTTTCTTTATCACAATGTTTATATCTCTTGAAATTTCCGTCACAAAGTCATCTGTAAAAAATAATTAGCAGTCTCCATCAATATTCGCAATGATTCCTAAATTTTCACGGTTTCCGAAATTATTGACGTTTTTTGTTTCATCCTGCGGTTTACCCTTACGTTCATTCGAGATATTTCGTGATTTCTCCGTTTTATCTTCGTAGGAATGAGATAATTAAAAATTCCGGAATAGGGACTGAGATGGGAAGGAATTGCGGAAAGTTTGATAGCAGCTGCGTACATCATTGGTCATTATTAAATTATTCACAGATCGTTTAGTTCAGTGGAGTATTAAAAAGTGACAGATTGGAGCAATATCGGGTATGTACTCACGTGTCATTTTCCTCAGACACGAGACAGTCGATGATAATGGGGGATGTAGAGGGTTGACAGGGGCAAAGGCGATAATAGGCGAAGGGATGATAGAGCGTGAAAAATAATTTCCTGCTGACGATATGTGGGTCGGATGAGGGCTGATGGTAGACTAGGGCTGGGTGGACTCGGGGCTATCAAAATATTATTCGAGGGGTTACATAAGCGGGGTGGTTGCCAAGCTCTACATACAACCCCCTGAAACTCCACCCACACATCCACGTGCTCGCAAATACGAAACTTTTCACTGAAATTAACTGGAAAGTAATTGGATTAATTAACTCTGCAGAAAGCAAGAATTTTTTTTTAATTATCGTTCAGGGATACTCTCCAAATTCGTTGACACTGGTCTTATCATTTTTAATTAATGTTTATTTGAAATTCACCACCCGAAAGGATTTTTGGGAAATCCAGAATATGCGGTTTAAATAATCACAAAAAAAAGGTTTCTTCAGCCGATAACTTCTTAACTTTGATTTTCATTTCTTCTCGCGTAGAATTGACAATTACCAAGTGAATTTTGAAATTCTGCAAATCCAGGAAAAAACTCTTCTGAATTTTCAATTCATCGCAAATCGAAATGTATTCGATATTTAATTTTTTGTCGAAAAATCCCGATTATTTCTAAATTTCTAAACTGAAATAAAAATTGAGTGAAATTATTCAATTAAAAAGGGAATTCAAATTAGAAAAATCAAAAAATCAAAAAACTCCCTGAAATTGTAGAAAATTCGTGGGAATTTGAAAGAGTTTAATGCCCTTGAGGTTTCAAAAATGATATTGCTTAAAATTCCCTAGGGCTTGTAAAAGTAACTGAATTGACGAGTAGCGACGGTCGATACGTGGACACAATGGAGGGTGTGGCATTGGAGGATGAAAGCCTTCACCTCGCGTACCTCCCTCGATGCCATTGGTCCCCAGGTTGAAGTATTGAGCATGGCGGTGGGTTAACCTCCCACCAATTCTCACCCAACTGACCATCAAATCCACCAGATCCCTCATCAAAACGCCACCGCACTCATCATCCCCTCATTTTCCAATTGAATTATAAACCGCGCAGTTGACAAGTTAACGCCACTGAGGGATTTGTTGGCCTCTTCTGAACAAAATGATTCATAAAACGGTGAGGATCAGCGGAGATGATAGATACAACGAGCGATTCAGTCTGTTTTAATGGATACACGTGTTGGTGAGATTATTTCGGTTAAAAATCGGTGGATTAGTCGAGAGAAGACACGCGGCACGGAATACCATGACGACCAGGAAGATTGATGAGACGTGTTTACCATTACAAAATTAGTTGACTCTACCCTGTATGATCCTCTCACTAATGACACCACAATATTCATTACTCAAACCTCGACAAATTAACGGAATTCCGGCTCGAAAAAATTATATTCTAACCATTCGCAATGATTTTTCATCATTTTTTCCTATGGAATATTGGTATGTGGGATGACTCATAATTACCAAATGGTTAAATGTAAAAATCTCACTTTTCTTTCGCGCATTATTTTCCGAGTAATTCGATCTGAACGTACGAAAATTCAACGGACGGAAACTGAAGTTAGGTTCATTCCGAAATTCATTTCGAACCGTTCCAGGATTAAAATTCAAGATACAATGTATTTTCAATTCACCTAACGGTAAACTAAATGAAAATCATAAATTTGAATTAATTATTCCACGAAAATCGATGCAAATAAATTCTTGAGTTTTCAATCAATTAAGAATTCATAGATACTTCATACTGAATATTTAGTCCTTGAAATGCTAATCACGCAGTAATTAAAATCATCAAAAAAATGGAGATTGATATTTCATGAGGAATTGGGAAAGGTAGTTCAAATCCTGGAAGTGATCGATCTGGAATGAATGAACAATATTATTGTAAACCCTGAAATTTACAATCCGTCATTACTTGAGGCGTTGGACATTGAAGAATATTAATGAAACCATAAAAAAAAATGGTTAGAAGCTATTGGTTGGCAGTGCTAAGCCACAAAACTAGCCTCTTGAGGCTTTCGCGCCTCGAATGAAGAAACCGAGGTTATTCCTGGTTGAACAAACACTGGAATGGGTCGCGTGCGCCTCCCACATATTTATAGATTTTATCTCTTTGACTTGCCACGTACGCACTGACGCATTCTCCTGTCCTCCACCTTCATTCCCCCTCTTCCTCGTATTTTTTCCCCTGCAATTTCTTCTTCAAAAGCCCCAGAGGACGTGTTAAGAAGGTGCAAGAATATCGAGGGGATGGCAAAAAGCATCAGACGAGTGCCACAAATTTGGCAGCAGCTCGTATCACCCTGAACTAATCAAGTGGCTTTACTCTCGGTGAAAAAAAAAAAAGGAATGACCTAATAACAAAAACATGAAAAATTAGATAAAAAATTGTAGCCACAGGAGCAGTATTTTCCTTTCTCTTTTTGCCCACTCTGCAAACGGCTCTTTTCTGGCGCATGTTAAAAAAAAAAGGCGAATGGACACAGTGGAGAAGCGACAGACGAATTGAATCGGCCAATTGTTCGATAGTCGAGCGGGTCTGACTGTTATTTTTATAATTCAACGAGCTTCGCCCTCTTTCTCTTCCCTTCACATGGTTTTTTTTTTTTTTTCCAACACAATTCCGTCCATCATTGGCAGCCCTACACACACCGAAATATGCGGAAAAGAATGAGACAGGAGGAGTGTTGTTTTTATTGGCCCACGTTTAGGGAGCGTACCACTGAAAATGGGGTGTGTTTTTTCATCCCCCTTCTGTGATGCCCTGTCTTTCTCTATCCCTTCATTCTTCTGGCGTATGCACTTCTGTCTCACTCGATTTTTGCTGCGATGCTGCTTCAACCGGGATATGCCCTCTCCACACTCTCCTAGGATAAAGATGTCTAGAGCAACCCCTGTACCCATATAACGCCCTAGCGAATATATACCAACCGGTGAAAACCGTTGACAATACCACTCCGTGTTATTCCAGCACGAATTTACTTCTCGGGCCTCTACCCTCAACTTTCTGGTGCACCGTGGAAACGTTTCAGAAATCTTCAACACCCGCAAAACCAAAACAAAAATGTCTTTTCATTCTCCCGTGAATTATTACTGAGGATTTCCACTAGTTGACAAAGTTATTGTTAAGTTGACAGGATTTTTATTGTTATTTTTGGGAGGCAGAATAAATACTGGGTGATGAGCGGGTGATGTCAATGGAGATGAAGATCTCTGGATTTATAAGACAATTTACATTAAAATTCGCGGGATTCATTCTAAATTTCAAATAATTGATACTCAATCATTATATCTGACGATCATTAATCATTATATCTGAATATATCTGCTGTCTCGTTCATTTGGTTTCTCGATTTATTGATGATTTAATTGATCGGCTTTTTTTATGGAATATTTTCGATACTGGGGACTCGGTTAAAAATAAAAATACGATTTGAAAATTCAGATTGTCAAATTCGGCTGATCGGTCTTGAAAGGTATTTAAAACTCCAACCGAATTGTTTATCCACGATATTTCCACGTGATGATATCCCTGATGACAATCCATAAACTGCTTGTTCAATTTTCGAGTCTTCCGGGTGTTAGAGTCTAGTCTTTGTGCCTGAAATACATCCTCGGATCCTGCCCGATGTTGGCATCTGTAATAACAAGCGTCGGTCTTCCTTCTTCTCCCCTCATCGAAGCATTTTTACGTTTACTACTTGAATCACTGATTAGCAATTTGCCTCAATACCCGAATTAGAGGAATTTTTCTCTATCCCGAAGGCGAGACTGAAGGTAGTCAAGATGAATGGATGCCTCCGAGGGTCATATCCCGTTTACTGAATGAATCGCGTGTCGGCGCTTGGGGTAGTATTGTTTTGGTTATTTTGGCAAACCTAAGACAACATCACTCTGTTGTTTAACAAAATAAATGATTTTGTCGCTTCGTCTCGCACCTACTGTCAGTTGGCCTCTGCTCTCTCGTATAAACGAGGCCTCTGTATGCATATACACCAATCTGCTACTTAGTCCACTGTATCAAAACAAATTTTACAGAGTTTATTTTTCTGGATCAAATTTAGTCAGGCAAATCGCTCAATTTCACCCCTTCCTGAACTCAATGAATTTTAGATAGCTAATTTAATAAATTTTAATTGTTCGTCAGTGGGGACAAATTATTTTTCCCCAATGATTTGGTCACTTGAGAGAAGTATATATTTTTATCAAGATGTTTCTTCAGGGGTTCTAGACCAGGTGTTAATTGTTAAATATTTTATAATATATTTTATCTTCAGACGATTTCTCGATTCCTTCTGATAAAAATATACGTCTTTAAAGTAAATGGGTCTTTGGCAGAAATAATTTTTTCTCTCGGTGTCAGATATTTTTTTTTTTATTCTGGTAGATCATGAGTGGCGTGCACTTTATGGTTGGAGAAAGGAATGGAAGATGAGCAGAAAAGATGTCTTGGGCGTGTGAAACCATCCATTAGGTAAGAAGACACTATCAAAACACCCGGACTTAGAACTTGGATTTTCCATTTACATGTCGGAGAGAAAATATTGAGTGAGGGAGATAGAATAATACTGAGCAGGTTAATAGAGAGTAAAAATATTTCATTTATGATTTCTCTTAATTTCTTCATTTCGTAATTTCTTCAGGTCATTGCCGCCTGAAGTTTCAAATTCAAATTTCAGACAGTTTTCTACTTTCTACGGAACGTTGCAGAGCTAGCGGTACCTTATCGACTTGAAATCTTCCTGGAGATCTACTTTATCCAATGCAGAATAATTCGATGAAGTACAGAGAACCGAGACAAACTGGACAAACGTCTCAATAATACGATGAGGGGCAGAGAAGATTGACTTGAGTAGTGCCACCCCAAGGAAGAGAGGGCGTCACACGCAACGCTGCGGTGTCCCGCTGTCAGAGGGATGGGGTTGATGGGGTGAATGTTCTTTTCTGCGTTACGGAATTGGTATTTACTGAAATTGAAAAATTCAAAATTTTCAAAAAAGTATCAGGGGAGCATGGCATTTGAGGAGGTTTTCGCTGAAATTGAAAAATTTAAAATTCCTGAAAAAGTATCAGGAGAGCATGACATTTGAGAAGGTTTTCGCGGAAATTGAAGAATTTAAAATTTCTGAAAAAGTATCAGGAGAGCATGACAT